CAACAATGACGACGACAACGACGACAACAACAATAGACACTATAGTTACTCAATCAAGATTGTTGGATAGAGCAGGAGCAACAGCAATTGGTACGGCAGCAGCAAAGGCCAATGTTTTAACAGATTACGAGGATCAAGAAATACAAAAACTTGTTAATGAAGTTATCGAGAATCAATTAAAAAAACTTGAACTTAAACTTCAACAGTTTGAAGAATTAGAAAGTGTTATCGAGAATGAAAAAAAGGAATTAGAAAAACAACGTCAACTGTTTTATCTTGAACGTTTACATCTTAAAAAGAATAATTTGATTCTACAAAAACAAATAAAAAATGGAACTATTAGTAGTATTAATAATAGTGACAACAACAACAACAACGACGACGATAATAATAGAGTATTATTATCTACAGCTGAATATCAACAAAAGCAACAACAATTACAGCAACCACCGATAGGACCATTAATCAAAGAGGAAAGTAAAATCCTGGAACTTTAGAAAAAATTTATTTTTCTAAAGATTTTCAAATAAATCAATAAGAACAATAAATTCATTTAAAAAATTTTTTATTTATATGTAAAAAATATTATTGTATATTAATGAATTTATTATGGAATTAGTTTTATTATTTATCTTGGGGGGAAAAGGATGCATGAGTTGTATTGATTATTAATTCACCGATTGATTAAAAAAGAGAATAATTCATAATTATTTTCTTTGTTGTTTGTTAAGGAATCAGCCAAGTTGCCATAAAAAAAAAAGAGAATAATTTCTTGAAATCAATAAAGTCGTCACCAAAATTACATTATACATGATTTGTTTAGGATGAAAATTTCATACCACCCTGCTCACGTATTAATTAGAAATATGTACCACTCTTTCTCTGACTTAATCCTAAATTACCTTACTATTTAAACCTCAGTGTTTTGATACTGATGATTCTTGAATTAGGTGAACTATACAAAAATTACCTTAGAAACTTTAAAAACTATTTTCTCTGTTTTTTTTCCTTGGTTAGAGTCCTCCGTAACAAGGTTGGACTG